GTTTCGTTTGAATTTAAGGTCATTCAGTACAAGACACAGAAGACCATGATTTTCTAAAGGAGTGTCTGTGGCCCACCGGTAATAATAAAGGAACAGAACGGAAAGAAGGTCCGAACAATACATCAAAATAACATATTATGTCACATCTTTGAGCGCAGATTGTATTTAAATTTTCTCTGCTGATGTGCAGTTGGTCTATTTCTCCCCCCGCCCCCTCACTCATCGCCTTTGCGCCGACCTCCAGGTAGGAATGGATCCGAGTTACGGGTATAATTGTTTACGTTTGTGGAACACGCAAATGCAAAACAAAGTTAATTGTTTGATGGGTGTTGACGGATTTTGTACACGTTTTCAGGATCGCCTAAACCATTTATGGTAACGCGAATACAACAAGATTAATCATTAATTTACGCAATCCAGGAACCATGGGCTAACATTGGAGTCATCGCAAGAGACACCGAGCGAGATTATCCATCATTATCGTCTATTTCGAAACGCCTCCCACATCATGCAGTTTGTTTACGCGCTCACACCATTCAGTCACCACGGTCATGAGTTCACGAGCGATGTTTTTCAGCTCATGCCGCGCTGCCAAACGTAAACAACGTAAACGCGTGCCGTCTCCTCCCATAGTCCCACACTGACATGTCCTCTTTCCCTGTTCCAACCAAAACAATCCAGCGCTCGGCTCTCAAAGATAGACTATCTGTTCACAGATTTTGAGAACCCGTAACCCCTCCCCCACCCCTTCCCCCAAAAGCCCTATCCTTCCTCCCCTCGCCGACTCACACGTATTCATTATCGAGGCCCGAAAAAAAATCTTTTTTTTTTTAAATCCGTAAAAGAAAGCAAAATAGATCGGTCTCACGAGCAGAATTTCCCCTTGCCGATGAACTATTCCTTTTTCTTTAAAAGTGCCCGGGGGGGGGGGGGGGGAGGAGGAGAGAAACCGACTCACTCCTAAGCTCGCCTGGAGATTTTTTCCTTTCTTCGTGACTTTTTTTCCCCCCCCCCCCCCCCCCCCCCCCCCCCCCGAAGAGCACCTTGCCACCATTGATATTTTTCCCCGTCTCCAGAGGTAATGTTATTTTTCGTGAGGTTTTTTTGTTCCTTTCCAACTGCTCACGGATTACTCAGCGGCCAGACATCCATCTCTACCTGTTGCGAAACGCCGCTCTAGAGTGAGTGTAGACGAGATTCTCTCCACTATAAAGCTGGCGTGCATGAGTAGGGGAGTAGTAAACGATGTCTCACCCTCCAGGAGCGCGCGTGTCTGAGACATCGGGGGAACCCCACAGTGTGAGCAATACGCTCGGCGTTTCTGGAATTTCGATCCGATAACGAAGCCTCTTTGAAGCAGCGCAAAGACAGGCAATAACTTTAACAACATGAGCAAAAGAAGCCGGACTCGCCACGAGATTCCACATGTTTGTTCCTGAAAACTTTGAGACAGAAAGGAAAGGGCAGTGCAATAAGAGTTAAAGGTTTATTGACGCTATACAAGAGTACGTATGGTGTCGAAGTTCATGTCAGAACAGTAAACATGCCATGAAGGTATTTACAAGTATGTGAACAACAACCAATACACGCTGCAAAATCGCACACAATACACTTACCAAAAAGAAAATTGAGAAAGGACCTTGCTGCCAGATAATTCATCTGACACAACACATGGCGTTCGTCCCCCCCCCCCCCCCCCCTTTCCTCAAAATACAGTAATAGCATACTGCAAAGCTAATGTAACCAAGTAAGCAAACAGCAACAAATGAGCCTGCTCTAGTGACCACCTGTCCAAGACGATCACCTGCACAAAAACCTACTTCCCACTTCAACACCACCATCCCTTGTATTAATTGTTATTAATACAAAGATGAGGCAACTATTCGGATGGTGTTGTCTTGGTAGAGCATGCATGACGCGCGACTCAAAAGTCATGTTTTAAATCATATTGTTCTGATCATGTTGTTACAAAATGTAACATGAAAGTGTCATGTCATGTCTTGGTTTTGCATGAGCCTACGCCCTGCCCTGTCATTTTAAGAGAGGAGCACTGAACCCAGTGTTGTTCACCATCAAAACTTACACGGTTCCGCCAGAGCCGATCAGTGCTTTTGGTCTGCGCTATAATGGGATGATGACAAGTTTGTGTTGTCCACAGTATAAGATGAGCTGTTTTCTTAGCCAGAACATACCAACCAAGATGCCACCTGGAGGTGACCCAAAAGGCTGGCAGTGCTCGTACCCCCCCTCCCCCTCCCCAAAAACCCTCCAACGTTCTCGTCCCCGACTTTGTAGAGCCCCGTGCCATGTCTGCCTAACCAATACACACCACCGATCGCACCACGTAAGGGAGCATGCAACAATCTGTTCTTAAAGTGGTAGTAGAAGAAGTAGACTCACTGCCAGTCAAATGAAAACTATCTGACAAATTCACGTTGATCTTTTAGCGAAGTTGCTGGACCTTGCTGCAGTACCGTTCTAAGATTCCGGCTTAATGAGTACATGAGATCAATCGAATTTTTGTGACTTCATCAGCTTTCATTTTCCTATTTTTTGTGTTTATAATATTAGTGACTACATCACCCATTCCCTCTCTCAAGGTAAATTCAAGCAAACAAATAAAAATCATATCGGCGTACATGTCCTGTTATAAAACTTTTGGCAGATGAGTCAGAAGGCTTAGTTGTAGTACATGAAGGGTTTCTGCCGGGCAAAAATGTTGGCCGTTCGCTACCGAGTTCCATATAAGACACATACTTAGTGGCGCGTAACCTGTCGTCACCGGCGTGGAAGTGTCCGGGTGCAAGACACAGCGTGTTGACACGGGCACGCTGACAAAGATAACTTGCCGTCAAACCCACACACTCGGGGACATTCGATACCTGCTCGGCCTGCTTGCAGCCAGACGAACTCGGTGAACTCATAAGTCACTGCCGTCTACACTTTGGTCCTTTTCCTCAGGAAAACATAAGGCACGAACGTGCCGGCCGGGGATTTATGAGAGCAGAGAGGAGCCTCGATCCTACCCTGCTTTGACAAATGGGACCGACTTCTACTGTCTCCGAACAACAACCACGAGATCAAACGTAGAGCTGGCAAGTTCGCCTTCACGAGAACGATGAAAGGGTTTTGAGGGCGTGGGCAATATCTCAACAACAAAAAAGCACGCCCGAAGAAACACTACCTCTTTTCCTTGCAAGATTTTTTCAAATACCTCTTTCCTAACGTTTATTAATATCTTGGTTCTATTCAGTATAGTGTGACAAAGAGGTGGTATTCGAGCAGGAGCGTGACCGCGCCTAAGCGAGGAACGTGTTGGGTCAGCAACAGGGTTACACACACACACACACACTACTTTAGGATCAACGATCTCACCTACGTCAAGACCAATTCTGTCTTAAGCACCAGCAAAACTACGTAGGCGTCGTTATCGCAGTGTCATACCAGGTAACAACCCCCCCCCCCTTGAGGCCAAAAATATCTTCATCCGTAAACAACAAATTTCAACAACAGCAGAGGCAGTACAACCCTTGTTCAAGACAAGTTGGTCAGTATTAATACCAGCATAACATCCCAAGGACTCAATTTCAATACCAGTTGTGATAAACGGACTACAGCTGAAACATGTACAGTAGACAAGAGCTGAAGCGACCTCTGAAAGTCTCAATGTACAAAAACAATAACAATTTCGTAATTTAACCATACCATTATTATCAATATAAAAAATAAAACCTGCCATCTACTCTATCTGATCAAAAGCAAACTGGACACACAATGAAAAAGTCAGCAAAATATATCACAGGATTTGCATAAAAAACAAACAACTTAAAGACGACAAAGGTAAAGGGAAAACTAAAACAGCGATCCGAATACATGCACACGCGAAATAACTCCAGTGGCTCAAATCTTTGTTCGCTAAGAAAAAGATTTAAGGGGAAATCATTTAACTTAAAAACTATTACAAAGAGTCTTCCACATAATTGTCTCCCTTGTCAGTGGAACCAAAATTTGCTCTCACCGTCAATAGTTCTCTCCCTACCGGGTTTCATACCGGCTCGTCATAAACTGTCATTAAACGTCAGTTTGATGAAAGAAACTTTTGAATTATTTACCATTCTGCCTAGGACATATAGTGAGACGGTGATAAACTGTCCTCTGGCTAAAACCCAAAAAAACTACGTAATTTAATATTATGCTGACATAACATTCCAAATCTAAAATCTAGTTTTCGCAGTGTTTTTAAAAACTGGACAGACGCACCTCAGGACTGGACAAAACTCTTTAACTATCACATGCTTGAACTCAAAACAAAAGCAGACTTAGTGTAGGTGTATAAAGCACATTTGGAAATAAGATCACTATAATAAATCCCCAAAGCAGAATTGAACTGAGTACACATACAAGCCATAAATCTCAGGACATGCATAGAACAATGGTCACTTCCAAATTCCTTAAGGTTGATAATCAACAATTGTGTACGACAGTTGTATGTTTATTCAGATCTCTGTAGGATTGACTAACAAAACAAGTAAAATTCACATTCTTATTTATAACGGCTCACTACTGTCTTCCCCAAATGAGAAAAGAAATAAGCCTGTGGACCATTAGCCATACATTCAAACAATATATATTCTGAAGACATTAAACACTTTCAAAAAAAGGTTGCAAGTTGTAGTGGCTGCAAAGTCAGCACGATAACTGCCACATTCTACCAATTTGGTGGAGAAGGACAACAAAGCCTGCCCAAATCATTCCCATTTCCAAATTAAATTTTGTTAATTCAAATTTTAAACAGGAACGGAAACTGATCAGTCCAAATCTTACTGAACTTTTCGCAGGCTATACAGATTTGGAAAAATACACTTATTCAATGGTAGATTAGTACAAACAGTAGAATGGCTCACCATTGAAAGTAAACAAATAAAAATTACGGTTGCCCGAAAATTTCCATCCCTGTTAAAAAAATTTTTTATTTCAAAGCACGAAGGAAGCTGACTAACCTGATGGGGTGTCCTGCGCCGCAGACTGTGAGGAAGTGGAAGCTCTGGCATGGGAAAGAAATTCTCGCTTGTCTTGCTGCCTGTACTGTCCCAACTGGGGCTCATTCCACTCGGGGCGAACCTCCTGGAGTGCTGACACTTTGTCTGCAGGCAAGCCACTTTGGTAGAACTGTCTGGTGTCTCTGGCCACCTCTTGCTGAGCCAGCTGGCCAGTGTCAGGCTGATGAGACCTGGAGGAAAAGCTTGCCTCCACCACTTGACCGTGCAGCCCCCCCTGCAGCGGTTGGGGCAGCTGGCGTGATGACTCACGACCCCCAGACCCCGGTCTAAACCGACTGCTGGACATGGCAGCATCTGGGAAGACAAAAAAACCCCACAAACACTGAGGAAAAGCAAACCACAAGAAAAAGACAAGGTGAGACCTCAGCAATCGGCTCAAACAAAAAATAAAAATTGTGGGAAACAGTTATGGTCAAAATTAACTGAAACTGAAACATGTCAGGAGTCACAAATCAAAATGTACCGTATTGAGGGTTTTGTTACAGAATTGTGTCATTCTTTGAGAGATAAAGTAATTTTCATAATGTCAGTGAAAGTAACGCAAACATCATGGCCTGTCTCCATGTCCAAAAATTTCTCAAATTTAGATTTCCTTGCCTCCTAAACAAAACAAAGTACAAACAAACATTAGATGCAACCATTATGAAGACTACAGTTTAATTTAGTTTAAGACAAGATTAACAACAAAATTTTCTAAACATGTGCACAATAATCTATTCTTTATTTTTTCCCATCTCCATCAAAATGTTTTAAAATTAGAAATGATATCACAGACTGCATAATAAGAATAGCCCCAAAAAACACCTTACACGTATACATTTGAACTTGCTCTTACGACCATCTGTAAAGACTTGTACAAACAACCACTTCCCTTTTGACATTTTTGCGTATTTTTTTATATATCACGTCCATGAGGACCACCTGTCTAAGATACCACTTTTCTCCTCAATAAAGTTCGGTCATCTTCTAGAAGTTCAACAGTATATTGTTATATTATTATCAAGCTTTTCTTTTCCCTTCTTAATGGGGCATTGTATTTCAATTATTCCTGGAACTCTTTTTCCTGTTCGAAGATCTGTCATAAACTCAATAGTAAACAAATCATTGGAACTTTTCCAACCTTTTATTTGCAGAAAAAAAATGTACAAGGAAAACAGGAACTCACATAGCGCTCTACTCAAGAAACACGTTCTTCATCAGAAAGCCAGATAATATTCCACACAGGTTTTTCATTGTTTAAATTTTCACATTAACTGACTTGATTACTGTTTCTACACCCGGTCCGCATCTTCTTTTCTTCTTGAAATCTAACAGCTTTTTAATAAAGTACACAATCACAGAATCAAGAAAATTCAAAGTTCGTAAACAATGAAGCCAAAATCCCCCCCC